TTGATAGTATGAAAATGAAAAGAGAACAACGAAACAAAACGAAACCTAGTGAAAGCTTTGTAGGACAGCTTGAATTTCTTCCTCCAAAGAAATTGTCGGCCGCCCAAAGAAAAGATAAAAGAAAAGAATAAAAAGGAACGAACTCACAGTAATTAGTGGCAGGTGTCAAAAGTTAATTGAGTTATACTTAATTAATACTTGACAGTAATCCGCTAATCCAATTTCACCAATCCAGACTAGAGAGAGAGCTAATTAGTTGTTCACAGTACGAGTGTCGAAAAAAAAAAAAAAAAAAAAAAAAAAAAAAAAATACCTTACCGTGTGCGCACTCTTAGCTTTGAACTGGGGCGCATGCGCTAGCACGTGATCAAACAAAGATAGCTTGCGATGCAAGGTAACATACGCCCACTGGCAGCTGTCAGAAATGATAAAACAGTCTTTAGTGACTAAAGTACGAATTTTCTCTTGAAGAAATTATTTATGTTGAATAATTCCACAAAATTTTTTAAAATCAATATCAATAACCCAAATACAACAAACAATTATATCACACAGCTCTAATCAAGGGCAAAAAACAACTTTTGACGCGTGTTTACAAAGTCAAGGGCAATAACTCAAAAAATGTTCTCGTGTTAGAACTTGTCTGAGATCTTATCAATTCCAATGATCACACCAAGTTTCATCAAAATCGGTTGAAAACTGTAGCTTATATTGTGCACACAAACAAATTTTGACGCTTTTTTCGTAAGTTAATGGCAATAACTTAAAAAAATTTCATCGAAAATGCGTGAAGTTAGAACTTGTCCGAGATCTTATCAATTTCAATGATTACACCAAGTTTCATCAGAATCGGTTGAAAACTGTAGCTTCTATTGTGCTCACGAACAAATTTTGAGGCGTTTTTACAAAGTCAAGGGCAATAACTCAAAAAACGTTCATCAAAAATGCATCAAGTTCGAACTTGTCCGAAATCTTATCAATTCCAATGATCACACCAAGTTTCACCAGAATCGGTTGAAAACTGTAGCGTCAATCCTGCTCACAAACTATTTTTAACAAATTTCGACGCATTTTAACAAAGTCAAGGGCAATAACTCAAAAACAGTTCATCGAAAATGCGTCAAGTTAGAACTTGTCCGAGATCTTATCAATTCCAATGATCACACCAAGTTTCATCAGAATCGGTTTAAAACTGTAGCGTCAATCCTGCTCACAAACTATTTTTAACAAATTTCAACACATTTTAACAAAGTCAAGGGCAATAACTCAAAAACCGTTCATCAAAAATGCGTCAAGTTAGAACTTGTCCGAGATCTTATCAATTCCAATGATCACACCAAGTTTCATCAGAATCGGTTGAAAACTGTAGCTTCAATCCTGCTCACAAACTATTTTTAACAAATTTCGACGCATTTTAACAAAGTCAAGGGCAATAACTCAAAAACAGTTCATCGAAAATGCGT